TTGCGGCCGAAGGCACTTGGAGCTGCCCCCCACAACGAAGACCACCTTTTGGGCCTTCTCCTCCACCAGGTCCATCAGCTCAAACCAGGCAGCTCGAACCTGGCAGCAGTCTAAGAAACCATTCGAAGCTCAATGTTGAAAGCTTTGCAGTGCACCCCTTACACGGGCTTCAAGGTGGTTAATGTAACGATGTGCGCAACGTGAACGATGCAGCGCACCTCCGGGCGGATCCTCCCTTCCGTGAGGTCGTTCCCAAAGTAGGAGATGCCGAGGGTCTCGAAGGTCAAGGGTGTGTCCCTCAACCTCTGCAGGATGGTCTGGACGCCCGCGTTGGCGATCGCGTAGTACCAGAGATCGTCGGTCTCCAACTGCTCTTGCAGTTCGGACCCGATCCGCTTGGGTCCTTTCCTGCTTTTGCAATACAGACTAGAATCCCCGATGAGGCCGAAAGGCGGCATTGAAGTCACCTCAGCTAAAGCTTGCCGAATCCCGAGCCTAGGCGACATCTTCGAAACAGAGGCTTGCCCAGAAGTGGCAAGCGTTGCGCATATCTGCCTACCTGTTAGCATGAGTTGCCAAATGTCCAGCACTTGAGCATGCACAGGTTCCTGAAGCTTACCCACCGAGCCGAACGATGCAACGAACTCAGTCAATACCTTCAGGAATGAAGGTACAAGGCTTGCAGAAGCGCGATTTGCCCAAGCACGCCGCGGCCAAAGTATCGGGCGCAACAGCTGCAAGGTCACGGGTCTATCCGACCCTGAAAACGCAGGAGAACAGGCTTCGTGTGTTCGATGAAACTGCGGACTCCCTTTCAAGCATAAGCATTGCAGATCCACACGCATTTGACTTTGAACCTTTCCGAACCCCTCCCCACGGACCCAAGCCCAAACCCAGATATGCTGAGTCGCAACACTCGCGGCACGTCCGGGGCTCGGCGCAGGATGCTGCGATCGCTTGAGCCACGGCTGCAGTCAACAACTGAGTGGTCAGGCTTTGGAGCCTTATTCAAGACGGCACTACTTCAACACACCATAAGCAGCTTCGGGGGGATTCTCCATGAGTCGTTTTATGTGGCTGCTTTTACCCCCTGCCCTTCCTGATGTCATCAAGTATCTCTGATGGAGAGCATAAAAAATGGCCAGGTCGACACCAAACACTGCCACTCCTCCGCTACTCCACTGCACTGCCCAATTCATTCATTACTGTATCCTTGATGTGCATATATTTACCTGTCGCCTATCGTCCACAATCTTCTGAATATTTTGTTGCGACTCAGAGTATACGCGCGCCTCTGTTTGGAAGTACGTGGCATTCGCCACGTTCAACCTGACGCTTCAAGGGCCACGAACAGAGTGACTTCAACGCACAGTTCCTTGCTGGAGAAGGCGCCTCCAGCAAGACGCATCAGAATAGTAATGAATGGTAGTAGTGATCATGATAAGATCAAGAATAACAGAAGTAACAGTTCTAGTTCTTGGTATCATTATTA